ACCTTCACTTCCTGCCGGAGTCCTTTCACTGATGTCGCCACAGAGCTGCTGTGGTTTGTTGGTTCCTGTCTCAGTTGCTGTTTGATAAATAACAAAAAAATGTACTTTAGTGGTATTAATATGTATGTAAACAGGTCTGTATGTAGCCCATCTCCTTAACAATGGGGTGAATCTAAACATTACTCTGCATGAACATCAGATTATTAACATCTTTATGCTTTTCCAAAAACATTTCACCACTAAATACTAAAGACTTAGAAGAGTTTTGTTATTTGAAAGCCCACCGTGCTTTTTCACAAGTATGGCTTATCCTGTCATTATCAATTATTATCATCATTATACCACCGTACAATCGTTATAGATGTCTAACACGTCAAATACAAATCCGTGTGTACTTCAAGCGTACATACATCTACAGATTTTATGCAGTTGTTTCCAGTACAGTTTAAAATTGACTAAAATGCACAAGGTGTGATCAGCTGCACCTAAAAGCTTCCATAAGTGGGTTTTTGATTAGGTCGCTGACCTCTTCCACAGACCAAACAGCAGTCTCGAGCCTGAAGAAAGCAGATGCATGACCAGAAGCATTTCCATCTCTTTTTTTAATCCAACATTGGCAGGTTGTCCACCATTCATCCACTCCCCACAGTCAGTCTGATGTCTGTGGACTTCAGACATGAACTGGAGCACTTGCCGTCTTATAGGCAGGATAAGCATAAAAATAGCAACTTTGCTCTTTTTTCATAGTAAAATATGAGGCAATGGGTCACCAGTTTGAGATGCAGTGTGCTCAGACATGCCCACCATCAAGTCATCAGAGCCGGACCACCTGAGAAAGATCCAAATCTTTCAGGTGGCCTATGAGCCGTGGCTACACAGGTAGATTATCTTTAATGAGATGGGGATCAGTTTAAATCAAGTATTTCAGCTTTTACAGGCACAGTCAGAACAAATGTGATATTGGTGACATCGAACATCTGCTGGTGACGTTTCGTTATGAAGCCTTGAGTTGAGTTTGGAGTTTTCTTGATCATCATCTCAGTGTTTTCAGACTGAGCTTGAGGAAGACGAGCAGATCTAACGAAACCTTGGACACATCCTGCTTTCTGACTCTAAAAATGACTCGTTTAGAAAATGAACTAACTCATAAATTCAGTTCCACAGAAGTCGTTTTGAAAACAGGGGCCAATGAAGAGAATGGAGGTTCAAGGCGATTCTGCATTAGCTTCACTTTTCAAACCTGGAGGCTCAATTTTTTATACTGACCTGTAACTTTTTAATTCCACCTTCAAACTAAAGCTAAATGCAGAAAAAGAAGCAAGCAGCACAGGCAAACACACACCGATAACACCACAGATTATAAAATCCCAGCAGCATGAAACAGCAAAGGTACAGAGTCTGAAATATGTCATCAAACAGGGACAGTTTCACAGGACTGTTCACTGGAGGATAATGAGAAGAACCAGAGAACAAATCATTGTTAATGCTGTAGATGCCCACAGCGTGTTTGCTGAACAATAACTCCAGATAGCTAGCTGTTAGCATATTTCCATGTGGTCCAACACTTACAGGAGATTAAGGTTTGTGAGGTTTGGACTTGCAGGAGGCCTGAAGCAATGACGGCTTGCTGTCATAAATCCCCATTCATATTCATACGTCAGGTAATGAGAAAAGCCTGCAACCTATTCTGGGATACAGCTGGATTTGAAGGGAATGAATACTTAGCTTACATTGGAAGATAAGTGAGCTCCCACATCTGCTCAGGGGGCGGAGCTTTGGGAGGTTAGCTGCCGGCTAACCGCCTATGGTGAAGGAAAAAAGTAGAAGTATAAAGGTACATGACTCTATGAATAATTACTTATTAGTTATTTATCATTAACATTAACTAACGCTAACAGTAGCCAAACAGGCTGAAGCTTTGTGCGGTGAACTTAGGCGATGTTGTAAACCACAGGTATCGTGATTGGTAACCTACTGTTAGCTCGCTAGTCGTTATTTTAATATAAGTTAAATTATATTTGCATTGTTATGTAAAACATCGTATTTAGGTCTTTGTTAAGTTCTTTGTGACTGCTCTGCCTGTTTACACGTTTCAAAAACAATCAAAACGGTTAGCTTGTTTTAAAAAAGCATCAGCAGCTGGTTTATTTTCTTTCTTCCCAGCACAATAGGCTGTGATAATGGTTGTGTTAAATGTATAAAGCAGAAATGATCAAGCATGAACAATATATAGTTAATATTTTCCAGAGGAGGGTTGGGAACGCTTTTAGCTGAGGTCAGCACCAAAGTTAAATTCTGCTCTGATATCGAGAGCACCAAACCACCTGTCGGTGTGGTGTGTGGACGAGCAGGTGAAAGTGCGAAGGTTATTAAAGTAAGTGAATTTATAATGCGTCCTTCACAGGCAAATAAAGCAGTTAAAAAAGAAATAAAACAGATAAAGGTGAGACAAATATTCCTTAAACTGAGTGTGAAAGCTCTGAGATTTACTGCAGTGGTTAAAACAAGATTTTAAAAATGTGTCTATAAAGTTAAAAAACATTTTTTAAACCTGAAGAGATCTCATTCCCGAATTAGTTAAAAGACATGCCGCTCCGTTTTAAAGAGATGATTTGTTAAGACGGGTAAATAGAGAGTTGCATTGATCCCAACGAGGAAAGATAAAAGTATGAACAATTTCCAGCAGTTCCAGTTTAGAATTAAAACGTCTTAACTCAGCAATGTTCCTCTGATGAATGAGGGCTGAGTCAGCTTCCTGCCAGTCTAAAGACAAAAACTGTTCAGGATAACCTCAAAGTCACATAAGCTAGATGTAGCCAACCGATTTAACCAAGACCTGATGGCAGCTTGTTAGGTTGGAAAGAACAGGAGAGATGGATGTCATCTGCATACAAAATATGGTTTAAAAAAAAAATGACCGAATTATACAACATACAAGCTAAACAGTATAGGTCCCAAAACTGATCCCTTTGGAACTCCGCAGGACAAAGTAGCCTTTTCCAAAAGACGGAGATTAATGGTGATAAAACAGAAAATTCTGTTTGGTAAAATTGAAACCAGTCTAATGCTGATTTAAACACAATCGTCACCTGATGGCTTTAAGATTGTTGCAGAACATGAAATCAGCACAAGTAAATGAAGATATGGTGCTGAGGTAGCTGGGATAGGTTCCAGGCCCTTACCCTTCTGCTCCCTGATAAGGATACGCAAAAATGGATGGAAATGGTACTGTTAGAGAATATGGGGGATGCCAGAAAAAGATAGAGACACCAGCCTGTTTATTGCATCAAAAAGGACTTAAGGATTTCTCTTCCTGCGTGATATAAGATTAGCAAGAATTTGTAGTTCTGGCTTCCTTTATACCAACATTATAAAAACAGTTGTGCACTCTCTCAGATGAAGTCTGTGCATTTCTAATTTTTACCACATGTACTTGATATACAGTATGTGTTCCATTACAATAAATCACATACTGGTGTTGAATATTGCATTGTACAGAGAAGCACATTAGAATAGGAGCACGCTGTAAAAATGACCTTAAAATCTTGTTTTTGTTCATTTTTCTGATGTGGAAGCTGTTTCCATGAAAGCTTTAGCTCTGATCGAAGCACAATGAAACACTGATCTTAACTGAATTTGAAAATCTAAACAGCTTTCTCAACCTGCTGACAGGCAAGCATGCAATCCTATAAAAGCATGAAAATCCCCTAAGTGGACTTATAATGTGCAACAAGATTGCAGTCTTTATCTGTTGGCCTCAGTGGTGCGATGGGCTGCTGGCCTGAGCTGTTTGATCTCATTATCTGAGTGTGTGAGCACAAAAGCAGATGTGATAGGCCGTTTGATTGAGGTCAAATCTCTTTTGCGCTCCGCCATGCCAAAAGCCCCCTCCATCATGCTCCCGACCCCTCTGATGGGCCGGCTGGTGTCAGAGAGCTCAGGAGTGACATGTCAGGTCAGCGAGGCAGTGTCCTATGGCACCAAGCAGAGAAGAGAGGCGTAAAGAGAGCAGGAGATGGAGTGGAGATGGAGTGGTTGTGGTAGGTGAGCTAATGGCTTTGAGAAAGAAGAGGTACAGCCCTGAAGGTGCAGACTGTGATGTCTTTATACAGCGTACAAAGGGACAAATTATTAAAATGCAGGAACGGATGCACAGAGTAAATGACTTGACCTGAAACCCATGGGTCAGCACCCCCACCCCTCCACCCCCATCTCCGTATGTGCATGTGTGATTGTGTCCACCCCCACACTGATTGACAGCCGCTGTCTTTGTCTAATAATGCTTTGGGTATTTTTCCCAGGCACTAAAAGAAACGCTGCTGTCCAAAGGCTCGAGTGGAGGCTGCTACACGTGGGGGTAGAAGTGTGTCCAGAAATATGGAGCCTAAATGTTAACAGATGAGACTGTTGGGGCTAATCGCTCGGTTCTCATGCTCTTTGTTTGACTTTCCAATCTCACATCCTTTGGGAGTGCACTGTTGCAAAACTGTATTTCAGCGCATGCTTCAGCGCACACGTATCAGCTAGATTAGATTAGACCTTTCTCACTTTCTCACTTTTTAATGGTGGAAAACTACATTAGATCACAGGCGTTTAACATTACATTGAATTATTTTATTTTTGTAATTATGTTGCAAATGAATTCAGTTGAATTAGGATTTTACATGCACACAAAAACGGCCAGAAGAGACAGCTGTAGTCATTATATATCTGTATGTTTGTGTATAGAATATTAGCAGGGAGCCGGACAACAGCAAATATATATGCATTTATTGAAATCAGACATTTTTTGTTGTATCTACTCGATCTGGAACTTTGTGTGTGCATTTCTCAAAACAGGCAGTAATAATGTATCAAAGTATATTTAATGATTACTGCACTTACACTATGTTAGTATATTTTAAATGAAAATATACATTTTGCTCCAGTTTGCCATGGTGGCGAGATATCTGAAAAATAATACGCTGTTTAAAATGAATAAACTGTCACTACTTTTATTTTGATAATTGAAAGACGACTTTTAATAGAGTGCTTTTAGGTACCGAAATAAAACATCTGAACACTTTTTCACCCCTCGAGGATAAACAAAAGAACAAAAATCCATTTCTTTCCAAGAGACATTTTGCTTTATTGCGTTGCCTTTGACACAAGAGTCACACAGAGGTTACAACAATCGTGTCATCGAAAAAACCTTTGATGAACTCAGAAGCTTAACGCAGATCTTAGAGAGCGGCAACACAAAATGGAAAGATAATTGTATCATCTGCTCTAATGGCAGCTATTACAACAATGGCAATGGTGACCTGGAGGCGTGGGGGGAGCGGGAGGACGGGCCCTCTCCGCTGACCTCTGCCCGGGAAAGGGCAAGCTCAGGCAGGAGTCGGAGCGTCAGGGGCTCGCCACCTCGTCTGGCACTGTGAACTCTCCATTCACAGCCTAACACAACAGGCAGGCATCGCTGTGACCCTGTGGGTGTGACACTCAACCTTTGCCTTAACCTCCTGACCGGCAGTCACAGCTGCAGCTAACCGGCTCGGGCAGGTCAGGGCGAGGGGTGAGAGATGAGAGCAGGGAAGATGGAGGGGGAGGAAATAAAGAGTAAAGGCAGAGCGACTGAAATATGAACGAGTGGGTGACAAAGAAGGTGAGAAGCTCAATAAGCCGAGTCTTAAAGGGTCAATCCACTGAATTTAGAAATAATAATTTAAAAAAGCCCAGTGCATCTGGAAGTATGCACATTACCAACAAATGAATAGGTACACTAGAATAAAGAGCTAACAAATAAGGTTTTTACAGGATATAAAGAAATAATTATACTGTAAGTAAATTTAAAGACTGTCATTTCCTGGTGATTTAGCAGAAAAACAAACAACATGGGTACTTTTCAGGGTGCAGACTGCATTATGGAAACCTTATCTTTAACCTTGCATAAAATGTTCCTCAGTATAACGGGATTACGGCATAAATGTACAAGGCAGATATTTCCAGACACGATAACTATACACAAGGTAAGTTGAGCCATACGAGAGTGAGGCGAGGCTTAGAAAATGAGTAGTTACGCTACTATGTCGACTACTAACCCTGCCGTCACAAAAGGAAGGATGCCTGGCAGCAGCTTCGTGCAGTTGGCGTTTGCAGGAAAATGGACGCGTGCACTGTTGAGGTCAGTCCCGAGGCCTTTAGTGGGCTCAGTCTTTGAGTCCCAGCTGTTTGTCTGATGTGGATCCTTTTAGAGACGCCAAGCTTTAGAGTCCAATTCAGTTTATTGATAAATCTTACACAACCGTTCAGGTAGAAATCACAGTGTTATGTTTTATTTTTTACCCCCCAAGAGCCAAAGAAAGTGCTGGATGTCATTAATGATTGCTAGATAAATAGATATTCTTTACAGGCCCAGAAAAAGGCTAAAAATATAAGCATCTAATATAAACTAGATAAAAGCAGAAAGCTATACTCGTCATATTTACACATGTAGCTGATGTGATTAAGATACGGATGTCGAGATGGCTTTCAGCGAAGACTTGATGTCTTATAAAACAGTCTCCTCCCTCCTCCACTCCAAGGCTTCCTCTGCAGCTTTTGCAGCTCCGCCCTGGCCGTGTCGACTCTCCATCGAGGCCGCCAGTTTCTGCTCCAGCCGCCACACCTGCTCCCGATACTTCCTCCGTATCTGACGGTATGAACTCAAGGCTTTGCTGCGACGAAAAGATCCACATGACTTTTTAACTTTGACTCAAGCTGAGCACAAAGGGCCTGATTAACAGACACCAAAGAAGTATATTCAGCAGCTTTCTTTTTCCATTCACCTGTGAGCTTGTGTGAGGCGAGCTATCTGCTCCGCATTGTCCCTCCTGTGGGAGGAACTGTCTGAGACGGCTGCGTTCAGTGACTCATGGACCAAAGCCAGCCGCTTCTTCAAGGCTTGCTCCCTGGAAAAAGAAATAGTGAGGTCAGTGGGTAAACATGCTGTGAGGTTATTCATTTTGCTGCAAGCACAAAAGATGTTTACTCACAGACTCATATTTAATATGCGTCCTTGGCCTTAGGGCCGCTGTGACGCATTGTGTTAACAGGAGTGCTTTAGTTAAAAGTATTCAGCACTCTAGGTCAGAAGAGAAAAGGTGCTCTCTGAAGCACATCGTGGAGAGAAACAGCCAGAAATTCTTTATGTGCAAAGTCTGCAGCGTTCCTAAGCAACAGTTCAAAGCGGCCAAGAGATGTCTGACACATTTTCAAACCTGATTATATTCAAGTACGTCCACATATTCAACATCCAGATAATTACTATCATAATTATTATCAGATTTTATTGTTAAGACACGAAACTAGAAGTTGTCAAGAGCTAAAGTGCTTCTATAAAGAGGCCATATAACACCGACAGGTATGGAAAAGACCGAATCCAACCCTCACCTCTGCAGGACCGCCTGCAGCTCTTTCAGGATGGGTCTTGTCCTATAACCAGCGATGTCCCCTTCACAACCGAGCTTCGCTGCGTTCTCACAGAGCCTCTGAAACACAACGTTCAGTTAAGATAACGCCCAAAGTCCCAAAGGTGTCTTCACTTCTCCTCTGGCGTATGTGCACTTTAATCTAAAGCTGTGGCTCCAGGCGTCAGACTGTCATCACGCAATGTCTCGTGTTTTTAGCTCTGAAGTGCTTTTACACTTTAAGGCTGATGGGACACTGTTGGCCGTGGACACCGAAGTTTGTGAGTATGATAGCTTGAAAATGAGGTGGATTTGATATCCCAATATTGACCTCAAGGTCAAGGTCAGAGGTCAAGTTTTCTCAAAATCTTGTGAATGCAATTAATTGAGATTTTCTAATTCATACCATATGAGCTACTATGAGGCTGGGGCTGCTGGTCGCCAGTATTTCTTACAGTTCAGTGTCCAACAGACCGAATAAAGTGATCCGCGAGGCCAGTAGTGTTGTGGGGATGGAGCTGGACTCTCAAAGGGGTGTCAGAGAGGTGGACGTTGTCCAGGATAAGGACGACGCTGGACGATACCTCCCACCCACTACATGACGTGTTGGCCAGTGACAGGAGCACGCTCAGTGAGAGACAGAGGAACCATCCCTGCCTGTGGTCAGTTCCTGCTCTTACTGTCTCAGAGCGATGTGACCGCATAATTTCCTCAAACGTATTCTGATTCTAACATTCACATCATTTGTTTTTATCATTGACCGTATCAGGAACATAGTACTTGGGTCTAATTTCTCCAGCTGAGCAAAATCAGCTGGTTCAGACGTCTGCATGTACACGCAGCATTTATTACACGGCCTGGGCGCTGACTGAGATTTTAGGTGAAGTAGCCAAACAGGACACAGTCTGCAGAAACCAGGCAGCGTGCAGCACAGGAAGTTTGAAAGCTATTCACATTTGTAATCTGGAGGCAAAGAGCCAGTGCAAATTAACATCACGGGGGGAAGGAAAGCTAAAGGAGCTGTTCCACTCTTTGTCATTTGACAATGACAGAGATGCGCGGCATGAATCTGTGCTGCAGTGACAGGACAGCTCAGCAGAAGACCTTGTGGAACCAAAATATCCTTCCTGGCCTGGAGGGATTCTGCTTTTGTAGATGTGTGATTTCCCACGTGGGGCACCCATATTTGAATCGGGTCTGTCACAGTAGACCAGCGTCCTGCTCCCTCTTGCTCGTTTCACCTTGACTTTGTATTATTTTCCAATTTGAAAAAAAGAAAGGATAAAAACCCCGTCTGGATTGCTGCTGCGGGAGTGTATCCTACCTGTTGTTCAGTCCTACGATCCTCCACCTCCTCTTGGAGACTTTCTGGGATGAAGACTCCAGCTGCTCCCTGAGCCTTCTGGCCCATTAAACTCCACTCCAGACACCTCAGCTCTTTCTCCTTGAGGCGGATTAAAGCTCGCAGATCTGACATCTCCTCCTGAACAAAAGTGGTTATTTAAAGAGTAAATGGCAGCTACATGATTGGATAGAGGCACCAAAGCTGGGCTTTGATTTGATAAATATTACCTCAGATTGTCAATGCAAGAAGATTTCTTTAGAATATCCTGATGTTGTGTCCCCTGATTTTTCTTTTTTGTTTGCATGTAAATTCATGAAACTCTGTCTCGTTTAGCTGGTTTGCACTTTTGTTTGAGTTATTATGAATTTATTATAATCTGTATATTCATGGCGTCTCATCCACTATATCCTGTATATGTATTTAGAGTACTATGCAAACAGTGTTTTAGGAAATTATGCAAATATTTTACTCCTTTCATAGAATAAATCTCTGTTTCACTCATAATCTCTTTGCATCCATAGTTTTGCATGCTTTTATTTTTTTTTCCTGGCCATGGTGTGATTGTAATGTACGTCATACCCTGACTGAGATCAGTTCATAAAACAGGGAAGCCTTCTCCTTCTTGTTATCAGGTTTGTCTTTAGTCATGTGACCCCCTCTTTGTCCAGGTGGGCTCAGTTTGGCCTCTGCTCCTGGACCTGGCTTAGGGAGGCAAATGGCTGCCCGGTCCCTCTTCAGGCGCTCAATTTGCTGCCGGAGAGCCGCCTCCCGATCCTCGGGCTCGGGCGTCCTGTGGGGTTACTTGCAGTGAACAAGCTGACAAAAGCGCAGCCCAAGAAATTTGCATATTTGAAGTTCCTACACGGTGATCTCGAACTCTTTCGTCAGCTTTGTTGTGTGTAAGCATTTAAAACATCACCTCTGCCCCGTGTGACTCGCTGTTTCCGTCTCCTCTGTGACCCCTGCTGTCGAGAAGGAGGTGGACAGCTCTTCGGTCCCCATTTTCCTCAGCTGAGCTAATGGACTGTCTGGGTCCCGACTGTCGCCGACCGGCTCTGATGATGGGAAAAAGAGAGAACCCACCTGTGTCTGATGCTTGAAAGCCATATATTGTACATGTGAGTGTCTGAGTGCTCTTTGGTGCGAGCAGTATTAAAACTCGGTATTCCATCACCTGCTGAGACACTCTGCTGAGGACTGCTTTGCTGCTTCCTGGCGTCATAAAGCGACAGCAGCTCGCCGTAGGCCTCTTCACACTCCTCACTGTCAGTCGCAAAACACAAAACGTGACCTTGCTAATACTGTTAAACCAACCTGTGCGTGCTGATGGTTTCTGACAGGTGATAACGAACTCGTCCAGCGTTGACACAGACAGAAATATTTATTGGTACCAGTATCTGAGAGCCATCTGCAGGGCCGAGCAGTCGGACTCAAGCCTGTTCAGCGTGAGATTGATCTGCTCCGACTCTCCTTTCCTTCGCTCCAGAGCTGCAGTGAGACGTTCGTTTCTGGCCTTCAGCCTCTCGATGCATCTGCGGTAAAGTGAGTGAGGATGAGGGGATTAATTCAATTCAATTCAATTTTATTTATATAGCGCCAAATCACAACAAAAGTCACCTCAAGGCGCTTCATAGAGAAAAACCCAACAATCATATGACCCCCTATGAGCAGCACTTTGGCAACAGTGGGAAGGAAAAACTCCCTTTTAACAGGAAGAAACCTCCAGCAGAACCAGGCTCAGGGAGGGGCGGGGCCATCTGCTGTGATTGGTTGGGGTTAAGAGTGAAATGGCTTTAATGATCAAAATAACACATGAAAAAGCTGCTTTACTTGATTGGTTGAGTTAAACTTCAGCAATTACATCATCAATCAGACCAGTGAGATTTGAGATTTGACCCTTATATGCACTTTGAGGCGGTCTTCAGGAGGTAGAGCAGGTCATCTACTAATGGCAAGGTTGGTGGTTCGATCCCTGGCTCCTCCAGCCTGTATGCTAATTATCCTTGGGCATAAAAAACTGATCCCAAGTCGGAGTGTGAATGTTAAATAGAAAGCACTGGTGAATGTGGCATTTTGTATAAAATGCTTTGAGTACTCTGTTAGAGCAGAAAGGTGATAAGAACCAGTGTTACAGATATCTACCTGAATCTTTAAATGAGCTGTGGGAGGTTATAAGAACATGTAGTCATAAGTCTAGTAAGTGAAACTGTATCTGTGTCTTTCTTCACATACATGTACATACAGGGACAGCGTGTGTCAACAATGTGGTAGTCGAGTTTTTATTTTTATTTATAACTCCTAAACCTTCTAAGCTGCTAATCACTCCCACCTGTTGAGCCGCTCTGTCTCAGACTCCAGGCTGAGGGGGCTGGGACAGAGACTGCCCGAGTTAACTGATCCCAGTGGAGATCCATCCCCACCCACAGTCAGAGGCGTCACAGCCCTGTTGGCTCTCCTGTGGAGTAAAGGTGAACCGGGATAGGGGGGCGAGGCCCAGTCTGGACTTAGGGCCCCAGCAGTGGGCCGGTAGGAAGGAATGTGGCCGCCAGACCTCCAGGCTTTATGGAGACCAACCAGCTGAAACACAGGAGAAAGGCAGCTGCACTGATTCTTGTCAGTCTCTTGTAGTGTTTATTGGATCTTTGTCCACTGAACGAGATTCATTCTGGCTAATAAAGTACGAGACATCTTCTCCCACCTTGTTCTTCTCCTCTTCCACCTGGCTGATGCTGCTCTGTGGGGGGCTTCTGAGAGCAGACTCCTGTTTGTCCCCATCCAGCATGTCTTCCTGGTACTGGTCTCTTGGGAAGCTCGACCGGCACGAAATCCCAAACTCTCTTTCCATCTCTTCCAATATCTGTCGGAAATGAAGCAGGATCATGAAAGGGACTGATGGGAGTCTAAAGACAGTCTGAACAATGAAATTTTTTTCTCATAAACTGATCCTTGCTGCATTTTCTTTTTTTATGAAAGAAGAAGAGCCAGTATATGGACCTGAAGCTCTTTTTCTTGGGCTTTGCAGCTTTAAATTACTTAATAGATGTTTTAATTGTGATTATTCTTATTTGTTTTTAACTTATACCTGGCTGGCTTTAACCCAGTTCTCTTGAGCTGCTCTCAGATGCTCTCTGTGCTTTTCCTGGTCAGAAGCTGTGATGGGGGCCGCCCAGGTCCTTCTGAAGCTGATGGAGTCCTCCACTGATGATAAAACCTCCTGCAGTTTGCTCCAGACAACACCACTGCCTCCTAGTGGATAGAAAGCAAAGGTGCAGGGATATATGCAGTATATGATGCTCAAACAAACATAAAATATGCAATAAAGGACATAAACATAAAATATTAATCGTTCTCTTTGGTGGAAGCTTCTGGATTGGATGAAAGTGCATGGCATCCAAACTGATAAGCTCTGCTGATGAGCGAGTGATGCTATGGTAACGCCAACCTTGGTCATTCAGTGGAGGTTTAGATGTTGGGCTGTTTCTTTCTGGGCTGCTTCTAACGAGCCGGTGAGACAGAAGATCTGGAACCAGAGGCCTGGATGGAGCCGGCGGTCTCGTGTCATCTGGTTCACTGCAAGAGTAGTGCGTTTACACGAGCTATAGGTTGAATATCAAACTCCCTATTAATGTGAAAATATCTGTGGTATTGCCCACAAGGATGAATACAAATCCACAGATTTCAGGTGTCTTGTAAGGATGGCATTAGTATTCAAGTCAAAGTGGAGCCAAAGGTGATGCTGCAGTAAATCCAGCCGTCGCGCCGGGCGCCTCGCTTACCTCGGAGCTTTTAGTGACCCCATCTTCTTGTTCAGTTCAGCAATGATGTTGAGCAGCGTGCCCACTTCAGCCTCACACTGAGCCAGCTCTGCTGGTGTAGGCTCGAGGATGACTGCAGGGTCACAGCCCTCGTGGTAGAGGGAGATATAGTCACTCGGGCTCATCGCCTCCTTGTCACACCTTGACCCTGCATCCAGACTGTCACATCTGCCTCGCCTGAAATCCTACAGAAACATGGAGTCGTGTTTGGACTGAAAGAAAAAATAACTTGGTGGACCCATTCATTTAGGTTTTTGCTGTATTTTTTTGTATATTTCTGCAATCTGTCACGTCTGTGTGCACCAATAATAACACACATCACACCCGATGTATGCAGCCTTCATTTGTCCTGTGAACAAGCACCTTTCAGCGAGTACAGCAAAATAATTTAATTATATAATGTATCAGCATTAAAAATCTGTTACGCTATTGAGCCAAACATGTTTGGCAGCTATTGTTCTGAGCAACGGAAAAGGAGGAAACTAAAACATCCTGACATCCAACTTCCTGCCAAGCAAATATTTGTGGACCGAACCATCTATTGTTTTCATGAAGAACGCTGAACAAATCTCTCAGACACAAAATGTTGAATCAGAACAAAATGTTACTCTTTAATTATGGAATCAACTACAGTCAGATGTAGAATGAAAATGTACTTTTTAAATGATTGAACACATACATCTTTTTAATAACACACGTATATATGGTGCAGGCCAGAGTTGGCAACATACTTGAAATTCCTTATCCTCATTACCAAACTATTCCCAGTCAGTGTCAGAGAAAAGTCATTTAGGCATGAAAAGGGGGAATAAAGACTTTACGCATGCTGTCAGATCAACTCTCTGATTTCAGATTTGTGGATTTTATTACTTATGTGCAAAGTGCATGTTTTCAAACAGTAAAGAGTCTTACTCTGCCTTATCGATGGGGCAGATTAAATCATTTAAAAGTCTCTATTATGAGGCTGCAGCAGTTCTGCAAACAACAGTTCTTCTCTTATGGGGCATATTGGAGCAACATGCGACATCTGCATTAGGCATTTACCAGTGACAGCTTTGAACTGCATTACAAACTCATATACTGTGTCACATATCATAAGCTCAACTGGATTTATGTTGCTCCCAATCTCAGTAAACCTTCAAAACAATCCCTCAAACATTTCATCATAACTTACCTCCATGCTCGCTGATCTGTGTGACTGCAGAAGTGACTCAGTTTACCACGTGTGTAAAAAAAAAAATACAATTGACAAAATGAGGGTCTGTTTTCTTCCGTCCTACTATTTTGTGTAATTATATTTTCCAAGAGTCAGTCAGTCTCTGTAATAAGTCTGCTCTCTCCATGTCTGCCTAACACTGTTTTGTGTGATGGGTGAAGTAAGTGGAAAAGTCATCCCCACCCATTCCCTTTCACTCTGAGTCCTTTCCTGTTTTGTCCGTAGTGTGCTTCCATGTCTGATTATGACCAAAGGTGGTGTGAATTATCCTATCTGGTTAAAATGTGATATATACGCAGGAAAATGCTACCTGTTTATTTTTTGGATACAATCTGCACACCGGTGTTGGCAAAAAATATAGTAAAAGACTCATTTTGGTAGAATAAATTCAATACATCAATAAATCAATCGATTACTTATGCATGACAGTATCTGTGGACTCAAACAAAGCTTTTTATGATACTACTACTACTGCTACTGCAGTAAAAACTATATTATTAGGTCAGCAAAACTGTTTTTGAGCACCACAATCCATAAACTTCATTACCCACAATTCCATTGTACCCGTTCCAGTTTCTGGTTATATCATTTCCGTTCAGGAAGTGTCCGTTCAAAACAAATGTTAGCTCGCTGTTGGAATATTTCTCAGTCCTCAATGAGTTTTTACCGTATATAAATACAAGACCTGTCGTAATAATTAAGTAAGTGTCTGTTCTTCTTCTTCCAAATGTAAAAGTTATACTTCAGTTCACAGAGTGACTGATTTGACGTATTTGTTTTAGTTAAAGCTAACTAATGCTAACGGCTAATGTTGCTACAGCCGTGGAGCATCAGCTGCTCTGTCTGCTGTGGTTTTTAGCACTTTGTCAGGTTTTCTGGTCGCATTGACTCAAGCTTTTGCCAATTAATAATATTTCCTGTAAATATACACCACTGCGTTTATCTACACATAACACTCGAGCTAACACGTAGAGAAGCAGTCCTTGTGTGTAAAATGAACTTTACACTGGACTGAGTTTGTACTGAAAGTAGAAATATGATTTTAAAGTTGATGAGAATGGTTGTGTGGTGGTCTGGTGTAAATGTGCCCTCTGTAAGATAGGGACAAGCGGTGTCGTTTATGAGAAGCCCGTGTTTAGGATTTTAGGTGGATTTGCACTTGTTGGTCTTTGTGAAGGATGGACAGCAAGCAAAGTTACAAATATTATACCAGCCTTTTAATGTCAAGTGATTCCATCACCTGTTAAATGCTAGAAATCTTTGAGAGCCAGAATAACTAACTTCACCTCACCACCTCCACTTCTGTAGCTTCCTCCTTTATCAATGGACACACCAGAGCCCGGCCAGGCAGATGGAGAGGAGCGTCTCGTAGAGCTCCGACCTCGAACGCGCTCCAACCCAGAGGGTGCTGAGGACCGACGCAGCAGCACTGGCAGCCTCGGAGGCAACGGGAACCCCAGCATATCTCAGCCTGCCGTGGGAAGTCGTGTGGAGGGAGAAGGTGAGGCCTCGACCAGCGACAGCCCTCCAAGTTCCACCACCGCAACCATCTCAGTGTCTACGGCTCAGGCTGTGGCTCCTACTGCCGTCACAGGTGCAACTGCTGCGGCCAGTGCTGCGGTACCACTGTCCACTACGGCCGTGTCAACCAAAGACAGGCCAAAGTCCACACAGCAGCACCCCACACTCACCACGTCCGTCCCTTCACCGGCAGAGTATCAGCTCAGAGTGCCCCGTGTAAACTGCCCAGAGAAAGTGGTGGGTCCTCTTAGCATTTCTGATTTTTGAAGAGTCACAAGAAAAAAAAAAAAGTCATTTTCACTGTCAGTTCTTCTCTTTTATGACAGATTATCTGCTTAGATCTTTCTGAAGAGATGTCTTTGCCAAAGCTGGAGTCCTTTAACGGGTAGGCGGCTGCATGTTAAACTTCATTGTGTGTCGTCAAAGTTTCACCGCCTAATTTGACTGTTTTCCAACCTAGGTCTAAAACGAATGCTCTGAACATATCCCAGAAGATGATTGAGATGTTTGTCAGAACAAAACACAAGATTGACAAACGGCATGAGTTTGCTCTGGTGGTCGTCAACGATGACGCCCTGTGGGTGAGTACGAGAGCTGTTAGGATGCTTTTTCTTATGTGTGACTTCTAAAAAATGTAGAAGACTCAACACACTCTTAGCCGTTTGTTTGGGCATGATCATGTAGTTCCTTTTTGTTGTTGTTGTCTATGGTGGTTGAATGCACTTCCCTAATGTAACGTCATTTAATCCATCTGTGGACATATCTCAGCTGTCAGGCTTTACCTCTGATCCCAGGGAGCTGTGTAGCTGCTTGTATGACCTGGAGACCAACGTGTGCGAGTCCTTCAGTATCCTTAAACTGAAATTGACAAAAAAATGCTAGTAACTTCTAGATGTTTGGTTTTGACCCTTAACTCCCCTTTTATAGACCTGGAAGATCTCCTTAATGTCATGTAAGTAACAGATCTGCTGTAAATTTGATTAAAAATGCGATTTTTTTTTAGCTTCTAAACACATAAGTGTTTCAACTGTTTGCTCATTTTGTGCCTTTGCAGACGTCAGAAAATCGAGCTGCCGTTGATGGAGAATATTCAGACTATCCCGCCTCCGTATGTGGTGCGGACTGTGCTTATCTACAGCCGTCATGCTGGGCAGCTGCAGTTCAACCCATCTGAGGCTGTTAGTGTAAGTACAGCACAGTCTCTCTTTGTGTCTGTATTTTAGTTTTTACACGTGGGACCTGTTCCTGACTGTGCACTTTGTGTTTCTCTGTCCTGTCACAGAAAATGCTGCAGTCGCCATATTTTTTCTTCGACGTGGTCTATTTGCACAACGGGGTGGAAGAGCAGGGGGATGAGACCAGCTGGAGGGTGAGTGCAGAAGCTGGTGATGGAGGGTTATTGGTTCAAACTGTGTGCAGCAGCTCCATGTACCAGGTTTGACCCCCTTTTACCTTCAGAAGTGCCTTAAATCTGTATGACACAGGTTCAACAAGGTGCTGGAAACATTCATCAGAGGTCTCGGTCCATAAACCATCGGATCAAATAGTATCCAGTCTCAAACTGACCGCAGCCTTAGACTGTCACTGACTTAAAGGAGTCAAACAAGCTTCATGCTGTGCCACAGCGATGCAGTTACTGTCCTACCAAAGGGGGGGACGTGTGGATAAGACGACACAATAATGGCACGCTGTGCGTGAGTGCTTTACTGACAACAAACTTGAGCTAGCAAGTATTACACAAACCACACTATACGCTCATTGGTTACTTTCTTAGGTGCATGCGATCAGTTGCTTGTTAATGCAAATATCCAATCGGCCAATCACATGTCAGCATAGCAGGTGATTTAAGTCACTTTAAACGTGACGTGTTTTGGTGCCTTAATGTTGAAGCAGACGGGCTACAACAGCAGGAGAGCGCCCTGGCTGCCACTCCTGTCAGTTACAAACAGGAAACTGAGGCTACGCTCCGCACAGGTTCAACAAAATTAGAAGATTGGAGTGTGGCAAATATTTCCTTGGCACACTTTGGTCCTTTTAGTACCAGCTGAGAATCGTTTAAACCAGGGGTGTCCAACTCCAGGCCTCGAGGGTGTCCTGCAGGTTTTAGATCTCACCCTGGGACAACACGCCTGAATCAAACGATGAGTTCATTGCCAGGCCTCTGGAGAACTACAAGATATTAAACCAGCTGTGTTGGATCAAGGACACATTTGAAACCTGCAGGACACCTTGAGGCCTGGAGTTGGACACCCCTGAGTATTGTTGCTGATCACAGTGATGCGATCTCCTGATGGCTGCTCCCAGCAGCGTGACGCACCATCTCATAAAGCTTAAATCTTCTTGAACGTGACGATGAGATCACTGCACTTAGATGGCCTCTGCCGTTAGAGCGCGTTGGCCTTTCGGATGTGATGGAACGGGAGATTTCCACGATGACTGTGCAGCAACTGCGTGATGCTATCACGTCAAGAAGAACCAAAAACTCTGAGAAATGTTTCCAGCGTTTTGTTGAATCAGTGACCCAAAGGATTGAGACAGCTGAGACAAGCGGTACCAACAAGGTCCAGTGAGTGCATGTTGTAACCTTTGAATAAATCCAAACCTTTACTTGTCTAAACATAAAGTACGTCCTTGTTTCTCTTCAGTGTTCAGCATGTTTGAAAAGTCTTCTCTCCACTGTCCCATCTCATTAAAGGCTAAAACCCCCCCCAAAAAATAGATATTTGAAAAAATGAACCATCTATGCCTCCAAGCTTATCTTTTAAAATATTTTCTGCACATTGTAAGACAGCGATGCCAAACTCTGGGCTGTGGAGCTTTTGCACGCCCGACTCACCTTCAAACCCTTTGCTGCTCTCGTGTTCACACCCAGCGATGATAAAACTGCAGTACTGACACTAAAAACCAGCACCGGCCTTTTGATTCTGTGTGTAAAAAGCTGTTTTACACTGTCTGTCTTGCATACTCTTAAACTGAGTATTTGCTTTTTCTCCAGGACAACTACACCTCTTTCAGTAACCTGGACTCTAAGGGCATGTGTTACCGCTTTGAGGTTTCCTTAGGCGGACCCGCCATTGAGCTGCACAATTGCATGGCCAAACTTCTGGCTCACCCTTTACAAAGGCCTTTCCAGAGTCATGCATCTTACAGCCTGCTGGAGGGGGACGACCCCCAGGACATTGAGGCAACAGTTTAAAATGGGACACTGGCTTCTCTGTGAAATCCACACGCACGCGTTTCGGTTTTTCCTCCACATTATCACCATTTTTTCTCTTAGCTGCTGTAATTCATGTATTATTTGGGATGTAGGTGTAGATCTAAGGATAACCAAGGGGTTTGGTAAGTTGCCAACTGCACAGACATTGTATGTCCATACTAAAATAGACGAGTGATTTTTTTTTTTCTTCATCTTAGCTGCAGGTGCCGTGAGAATGATTAAAAGTCCCAGAATCCAAGAAAAAGATAAAAGAGCAGCTAAACGGTGTAAAGGCATCATTCATCCCTCGTTGCTTTCTAACACACCACACTGCTCGGAAGCAGGCGATCGGGAAACTAATGAACCTTAATTTGAAGTAGTGAATCAGAGACACGTGATCCTGCCTGTACGTCTGTTGCCTGTTTTAATCTACTTTGTTTTATAAGGGCTTGTTTTCTTTCTTAGCTGTCACACTTACGTTATGTTACATAAGCAATGAAAAAATAAAGGGTATGATTGTAAAAATGGCCCTTTGCACTGCCCGTAGATGCGCTCGAAACACGTTGTGTACAGATGACGTTTGTAAAACTGTTTCTGCGGATTAAAAACGTTCGTTTAATGACACTTGTCGTGTTCGTGTGTTTGATGTCATTTTTTTAATGTCTAGCTTTTGTCAGGAGATGGCAGCAAAGCCTCTGCTGGGATCCTTCAGCTGTAACTATGATTTCACTGCAGCTCAGGTGTCTTTATATTCGTGTTTATGGCGGTGATTGAGCAGTCGAGCAGCAGACACCGTTGTAAACAGGAAGTCTTCTCCAGTTGTAGCATGAAGATTAATTCAGTGTGGAGGTTCTCAGTCTTGTTCTGATGCTTCACGTGTGTTTGAATGTTAGTGAAGCACTGACGGCATCAGTCATGTCTCTATCATATTCAGTTTGGTTCCGCTCCATATTTTCCCCTCGTTGAGCTGCAGCGCTCTGTCCCCCAGGTTTAGCTGTAAAATATGTTTTCCCGTCACCTCAAAGATGTCTAGTCTGTTATCTTAAAAGGTGTCTTATCACAGTCTTCAGCCATTTGGTTTCCTGCTTTTGTTCACGTTATCTAACACCTCTTTCCCGACTCGTTGTCTTCTGTCACTCTTAACATGCCTCATAAATAAGTTTTTCCACCTGAGGACAGGTTGTCAGGGAGACAATAGGGAGCAGGAAAGCTTCAGGCTCAGAGGCCCTTTCCCCTTTCACACCCTTCCCCGGCTGACCCGACTGCGCCTGACGTCACCGGCTCTGCCGTGGGTGGGACGGGGGTGAAGGGTGTCTGCGCTCTGCAGGGAGAATTTGTTATTCCCCATCCCCACAGAATGACAGGTCCCTATTGTTTTCACTCCTTCACTCCTCCACTACCACGACTCCTTTCCGTGCTCGTTCAAGACAGGATATGCTGGAAAAAATTTTTGTTTGGCATTTTCTGCTTTTACTCCTTAAATGGTTCATATTGTTCATCAAGCACCAGGGGAATACATCAGTCTGCAGCAGCTATAATTAAATAGGAATATTTCCTGTTGTTTCTTCATTATTTTTATATCACATGAAGTCATGGGTAAAAAAAACCATAAGCAGTCTTACTAAAGTACTGAACGTCTGTGCTTCTGGTAGACATGAGTCCTGACTGATTGGATATTTATCTGAGAAAATATGATGTATGTAGTTTATGAATGTGGCGTGGTTGTTGATGCCCGCTGAGCTGCTTGGAGTATTTGAGAAACTGTTGATCTGCTGGGATTTTACTGCACATCCATCTCTAGTGTTAAAAAAGAGGTTTTATTTATGTAGTGGCAAATTACAACTGTTACTTTATACTGTAAGGTCAAGACCGTACAGTAATACAAAGAGAAACCAGAGCACTTCAACCAACGTTTGTAGAAGAGCGTCTATGAACGACTGTGGCAGATGGGCCCCAGCAGCAGGAGGCCTCACCTGCCAACAGGAACCTGAGGATTGAAACTGGACCACAGAAGATTAGAAAAATGTTGCCCGGTCTGTTGAGTTCTGCTGCAAATGGCATGAAATCAAATCATCGACCCATCCCGCTGCAGCCCAGCCTGGGTGTTGTTGCTGGGTCCATATCTATGACTGCAGTGCACCTTCTTCTGATGCTGCTGTGATGCTGTCGCACCAATATGGACCAAAATCCCTGAGAAATGTTTGCAGCACCTTGTTGTTTCTGTGCCACAAATTATTATTAAGGTGCTTCTGAATGCAAAAGCGGGTCCGACCCGTTACCACCGAGGCACAATGAAGTGATTGCTCGCTTATTTTAAACCCTAATTTAAGGTCATTTAATAGAGTTCGTAGATTCCACTACAGGAGAGCATGCAGCCTCTGCAAAGGCGACTTCTTTAGGCAGCGTGAGCACATTTTGTTAGAACTGACGGTTTTCTTACAGTTTTTGTTGAAAAGCTTTAAATGTATTTATGTCTTGAAGATCTTTAAATCTAATTCCCATCACACCAACTTATTTTTGTTTGAAACGTTCCATGGAAAGTTTCTGATAACTTGGGCAGCTTTGCAGCAGGAGGCTGTCCTGCGACACAGGCTGATTAGGGACGGGAGGGGAAGAGGCAGGAGAGGTTGGGCTGGGATGGGCAGGAAGTGTGCCTCTAGCACCAATTATAAACATGACCCTTCTGGACACCTAAGGGTCATTGTTTACGTCCATCATTGCCTGCCACTTGTGCCTGTCTGCTTCTTCACGTCGGCAGGGCTGCAGAGCTGTAAAAGGTGAGCAGAAGTCCGGGAAACCATCACCTCACTGCACGCTCGACTTCTTCCATCTTCCAGGGGGAATACTTGCGGATTTTCTTTATGGACAAATAATTTCTCTGTAGTCAGTCATGTACAGCTCCAGCTACTCTCGGGCCAAACTGAGCCCAGGGGTAAGGCACCTGAACAAGTCCAAAGCGAAGAGCTGCGGCTACTACATGAGGATCGTCTTCCTCTTTTCTTCTCTCATCCAGTCGCTCATCATCGTCAGCTTGGTGCTTTTTGTCATCTACGGACAGCCGGAGAAGACTGCAGCAGATAAAAGGGTCAAGGTCAGTGAGCTGGTCTAAGTTTGGTTTATTAAACTGAAGCATTCAAATATTTTAAAGACGTTTGAATGTCCCGGCCCACCTTAAATAACAATACAACAGCTTATTAGTAGGATTATTTTCTGAGAGGTTTTCTTAGATTTCAGCGATGTCATGTTCAGAAACCATTAATGTGTTTTTTTCACTGTAAATATTTTAATTCTAATTATTTTAGTATTTTACGTGATTTCCCAGTTGTTCTACCATCATGTGTAGAGCTGTAAGAAGCATGGCTTTGATGCTGAGTGCTGTTATCCTGCAGGAGCTGGAGCTGGGCTTCAATAAACTGAGTGACAACAACATCGAGCTGAGGAAGGAGAAAAGTAAGCTGGAAGCTCAGCTGAAGGCTCGCGCTGAGGAGAGAGCAGCTCTGGAGAAAGAGATGGCGAAGCAGCAGATTGATGCCAACAAGACGGAGCAGGATCTGAAGAAAAAGTCTGTAAGTTCACTTCCCCGTTGGTCACCAGTGCAAGAAAATATAATCGTGAATCAAATGTCTTTGTGTGTGTTTTCTTCACAGGAGGACTGCAACAGGTTACTGAACCTAGCACGGCGCCCCCTCCCTCCGATACAGCCCCATATCACTAGAAGCAGCACGAGCAGTATGTACCTCAGTGCCATCTTCTTCTTCTCAGGCATTTATCGTCTCATCAAACATGAAACACAAACAGTGTCTGCAGACGTCACTCTGAAGTTGAACAGTTAAAAGAGTCTTGATGCTGCGGAGGTTGATCTCGATCTGCCCAAACAGTAAAACATGTTGCAAACCATCTGGAAACTCGTTATCTAATAACTCTGAAGCATTAATAAATGATGCATTAAGCCTTAATTAGCATTATTGGAGTTGAAATCGTCGCTTTCTGACAGTTTCTGTCTGAATCCTCCAGGCGAGCTGAGTAATCTGAAGAGACTCTACGATCAGCAGGAGGCCAAGCTGGACGTCGTCAACTCAAACTTCACCCAGACGGTGCAGAATCTGCGGGATGAGTTAGACACAGCCGTCAAAGACCGAACGCGCCTCAACGACGAGGTGGTGGAGCTGCGGCGCGACAACACCTTTCTCAGGGAGCAGCACGCCTTGTACACCAGGTAGGTGTGTGGCGTGTGCGACTGAAACAACCTGAAAAATAAGCAAAGTTAAAGCGTTTTATTTTATTCTTTCTGCCTCCACCAGCAAGTGCAAAGAGGACTTTGCAAATTCTCTAGAAGGCATCACGACGGTGACCAGAGAATTCTTGGACCGGATTAACAAACTGTTTCCTCACCAGCTCACCTTTCACCTCACCTGCAGCAGCCAGCGGGAGCACATGGACAAGATCAAAAACAGCTGCACGAACCTGTCCAGAGACGTGGAGAACAAGTTCCAGGTTTATCTCGACAATGTGGGGAAAATGGTAATTTAACATTTTTAATGCCATTTTTAATACTTTCAAATCACTCTTTGGTGCAGCTGCTGCCAACTCAGAGATGCATCAGATCAGACAATCAACCAGATCTGTTTTTGCTTTTAAAGAAGGGGTGATAGGCAATCAGGATTTCAGTTCTCATTTTATTCTGAAAGGTCAGATAAATATAGTGAGCTATAACGTGGCAGAGAGATGCCTGCATAAAAGAGGTTTGCTTCAGTAAATTAACTACTTGAGGGAGAGGACGTGTTTATTTTCAGGTCAGACTTTCAGCCTTTAAACTTTTGAACTCTCCCTGAAGAAGTTAATTCTGTGGAACATCCCAGAGTACAATCTGAGTGGGAAACCGCTTTCTCAAGGGAGGAAGTCTCTGCATTGTATCATTGCTGATAAATGCAGCTAAAGAGACAGATGTCCTGTGAGGCAGTGCCAGGGTAAAGCAGACGTGAAGTATGTCTCTGCTGATGCAGCACTTTAAAATGAGCCTCGGACGCCTTGAAAGTGTCGGGTCAAAGTTCTCAAAACAGCTTAAAAACGTTCGAAACGTCATAAATATTTTGATATTTTTCATGTTTTTACTCAAAATTGCAGCAGGGAAAGCAAAACAAAATTCTATCTACTCATATGTTGTCCAAGATTAAAATAAAATTGTGTTGTTTTGCTCTCAGGTGTCTG